AATAGCGATGGCCTCCAACCTAAGAGCCAAAGGAACCTAACAATAGCGATGGCCTCCAAGCGTAGGGTCTACAAACACCGAGCTTTGCTGCCACCTGGTTGATTCTCACCGGTGCCAGGCTTAAAGGATCGTTCCTTCGAAGAGCTCTTGGCCTCGGAGGAGCAAGCACGCTTCCAGAGCTTCATTGAGAAGTCCACCGCTTCCGCTGTGGACCGAGACCTGAAGGAATCACCCCGGCCGGACCGAGACGCGTCGACTCTGTCAACGGCGAATGGAATGGAATTCGGAGCTGGTTTTCCGGGTCAAGGTCATGGCCTTTTTCACCATGGAATTTGAATGGAATTCAGGCCCTCCCTTTCTTTTTCCAGAAGCACCCGGTGTTTGATGGTGTTTTACGAAGTATTTTAGACACAGACACTACAAAACCAGGTCAACGGGGACCTTTTCATCGTCTTGGAAGCCTAGGGGATCGGATTCCCCAACCCATCAGATTCGTGGCGGTGAAACCATCCTACATGTGGTCGGAGATAGATCGCTGATTCTCAGGGTCACTGCCAGACTGATCGAGGGTGAGCTACTCTTGGCCTGAACCATCTTCAGGCTCTGCGGCACTCGAACAGCCATGAGGTTCCTGGTTGGCCTGGGGAAGAACCGAACCACCACCCCGAAGTCCCCAAAAAGAGGCAAAGGGTTTAGGGTAGTGCACAGAAAGGGAACTTGGTGGAAACAATTCTTGATACATTAACTTCGTAGAAGCCATTTTTGCTGACCTCCTTTCCACCTCTCCACCCGCCATTTAGCCTTCATACACTGGCTCAGTCGCTTATGCCTTGAGGATCTTGAGGTTCCACGTCCGCTGGGGGCAGTCCTAGAGCCTTCGACCTCTATTTGAGGACCACCAACTACCCCAAAGATGGTCCAAAGTTTGAAAACAAAGATCCGAACGTCTAGGCTCATCCCAGCTGTATCCGAGTCCCTAGAGGGTTGATATGGTGCAGTCAGAGTCCGAGCGCCTTCCCTGACCACTCCACGCGAGTCGAAGGGCGATTGGGACTCGATTCTCCTCCGCGCCCCATGCGAGAACTCAGCCGAGCCACTCCCACAACCTGGAGATGGGTCAAACCTTGGAGCACCTGGAAGAGGTAGCTCAAGCAAGGCATCCTGGGCGACCCAGCCGCCGGGTGTTAGAGGTCGGTGTTTTCGTCACACCAAACTAAGGAGATGAAGATTCAGGACCTCCTTTGTGCTTGAGGCTGGGGAAGAGAGCGACAGTCTTGACACCGAACATGACAGGAGCGGGTGCGAACTTGGCACAGAAGCAAGATGTGGCACAGAAGCAGGTCCGCAGGTTCTATTCGTTTGTTTTGGGACTCCTGCATTCCTGCATTCCAAGGGGATAAGGATCGATTCTGCTAAAAGGACCATTTATATACCGGAGTCAAAGACTATAAAAAGCATGGTCTTTAGGGGACCTGAAAGGGAATTTCCTTTACTTCAGCCGGTCAAAATATAGTCTTTGGACTTCTAGGGTATATATACATCAAACGAGGATTCGCATCAAGATTCAAGATATGATCTAATCCTCAGGAGCACGCCGGCCCCGTTCCGCTCACGCTCACGTTCTTGGTCCTAGAAACGGGTCGGCGGATTCAAGATATTATATCTATGCAGTGGAAGACACTCCCAAAGCTTGAATGTCAAGCAGTCCAAAGACCAAGAGTTCTGACCAGCCCCACTCTCGGCAGGCTGTCCTTGCGGAGTGCGGCGGGCATCCGGGTGGGTGCCGACGTCTATCATGTCCCGGTGCCAAAGCTCTTCGGGGCTGGACAACCATACCACTTGATCGCCTTTAAGGCGAGCAAATTTGCCGTGGCGTGGGTGTTTTTTGGGTGTCGTAGGGTGTCATGCTCGACGGAAACCCTCAAATTCCTGAGACTGGAAGGATCCCGAATGTATGGATGCTCAGATTGAAATAAGGGTGCTTTCCTGAAATGGGACCCAGAGTTTCACAGCTTTTAGGTTTCTCATCACATCCAGCAGCCGCAAAAAACCATCCAGCAACCATCAAAAACCAGCTTTTCCATAGCTACAAATGGTGTTTGTATGTGAACACTGAAAACCTTGATTTTGTTTAAACGAGTTTGAGGGCCACTGGTATATAGAACCTGAGTGCTGTTTTGGAGCTTTCTCATCAAAACAGAGGTCATGTCCGAGTTCTAGGGTTTTACACTCCCTGCCATAGACTCCCTGGAACAATCATGGAAGTGGATGGCATGGTGCCTTGGGAGAACATGTTCTGAATACCAAACTGGTGGTGGTGGTTTTCCACGAAGCCATATGATTCTTTCAGCCCAGACGCGACCCTGGACCCGAACCTATGCAGGGGTCGGACCCGAATCCTCTGGAAGGGTCTAGACCCGAACCAATCCCTAGGGTTTTGAGGGACCAGTCGGGCTGTTTGGAGCGTCTGGGAGGGAGTGTCTTTCAGGGAATTGGATGGCATGGCCCCTATGCCCCCCTGGGAGGACCATGAACTCCTCGAATCAGTTTTTCCACTTCGATTGATTTTCAACGAGTGGGGTCTCAGACGCCTCTGACTTGAGTGAGAAGCTTTCCATCCGGAGTGAGGAGACGTCCGCTGTCAGATTCTGGAAAACATCCCGCCCAAAACCTGCGAACCCAAAAACACCGGAAGCTCTGACCAAAACGGCTTCGTTCCTGTGACCAAACCAGGAGGATCCTGAGGCGCGACCGCAGCCAGATGCTTCAGAGGATGCGGTGCCTAAGGAGCGTTCTTCACATCCCGGGTCCAGGTAGCTCCGTACTTCGGATGGCCGTTGCCGGAGGTTGTCGTACGTACGAAACCAGAGAATGGTCGTTGCCGGGGGGGTCTTTCAGGACATCCGAGCGGATGGTCCTGGACCCGGCATGGCGAACACTGGATGCACTGAGGAGGTTTTCCCTGGGATGCGGACTCTTTGAAGCCGGAACGAGGAGGTCCCTGTCTGGCAGGATCCACGGCGGTTCCAGTTGGGGTTCGGTGGGCCCCCGAAGTAGCCCAAGCAGGAAGCACCCACGCCTGGCTCACCCCACCAAGGTTGGAGGGGATCGCTACTAATTACCCAGACGCTCATGGACCCTCATATGGAGGGGTCGGACCCGAATCCTCTGGAGGGGTCTGGGGTCTCCAATCCCTAGGTTTTGAGGAAGCAGTCGGGCTGTGAACGGAGCGTCTGGGTAGGTACATTACTAACTATATACCCTTCCAAGTCGAAGTAGACTCATTAGGTCTACGTAGACGTCAGCAAGACGCTCGCTCTGAGACTGTCGAAGTGCCAGGAGCTTCTGCATAGCTGGGAGACTCAAGGGAACGGATGGACGAGCAGAAGCGCAGCATCCATGGTGAGCAGCGGAGGAGTCGGGTCGGGTCCGGGTCAGGAGGCGTTGAGGAGAAAACCACCTCCGGACATGAACTGAAGGACCTCCTTAGGGTGAAGGATCATCAACCAGCACCTGACTCTAAAGGTCTCCGAAATGGCTGCTTTTGGAGACTTCAAGTTGCTGGAAGAGTGACCTGTTGGAGGGTCCAGGAAGAGTCTACCAGCTGCTTCCGTTCGGGTCACCTGGCTGGAGATATCTCCACACTACGTAAACAGGTCTCCGCACCCCGTTGGAAGCGTCCAAGAGTCTTCTCTTCTCTGCTGGAAGAGAGAGATCCCCTGGCCCAGCTTGGTTGATCCTGGACCGACTCAGACCGCCCCTTTGCGGTCGGAACCTTCCTGGAGCTTCGATGCATGTCCCAAGCCGCGAGGCTGGCTTTTCCCTCGGGGAAGGGGCTCCAAAGACGCTGAAAACAGATCCAGTTGAACCCCCGTTGGGAGGTTCCGGGGGATGGCATGGGATGGCAAGCTTCTCAAAAGGTATGTGGATCCCCAACTGCATCGGAAAGTGGAGATGGTTTCCATTGCATCCACATATAGCTGCGCCATGCTGCACCCCAAACTGTCCTCCTTTTTTCAAGCCACAGAAACCGCCTTCTAAGACCAGTTGAAGCATGGCTGACCTGGTCTTGTAGGCCCCAAATCCCTGAAACAATGCTTGGGACCGACTTTCGAGCGGAATCTCCAGACCTGGCCGCAGGCTCGGATGGTGCTCCGGTGCTCCGGGTCCCCCAGGGTCCCCACCGGCTCGAAGGCTGAACAGAGGCGGAGATCCCAAACGAAACGAAGAGCCCAGCGCGGTGGATCTGTGCAGGACGCAGTTCCTGCCATGTCTGTCCGGAGTTGGAACAGATCACCTTGCTGATCGATGTGGGGACCGAGTGTCAGGATGTGCCACAAGCGCACTTGAGCTTCGAGCGACGCGAGGCGAACGGGAGGATCACAGGAGCCAGAGACGTCCAAGTTCATGTCTTTTTGGGTATGTGTGCTTTTGGGACGTTGAAGATGTGATGGATGAGGAAGGTTGGAGCTTGGAAGTGCTAGTGCTAGCAGGTGCTGTTTGACAGATAGCCTGCTGCGGCCAGCCGGGATTGGATTGTGGGCAATCCCTTCATTAAACAAACAAGAGCTGCCCCTAGTTGAGCTCTTTTTTAGGGGATGGGAACCTGGGCAGAGCTTCAAAACCGAAATGTTGCCTAGGACAAATCTTAGACATCCCTACACCTCCAAGTACCTTCTCAGAAGGTATTTGGACCCTCCAAACCCACCCCAAACACCTTCTCAGAAGGTACTTGGAGGCCTATGGGGAATAAGATATTACATTAATTTGATCTATGACACATGCGGTCCCTGATTGACCATCATGTCCTGATTCAGGTCACACCGTGAATCCCCGGTTTCAGGGAAAGAGCCACAGGCAGCCACAGGATGGCTTCATGAAAAACAACAAATTCAAGTTCGACTCCTTGAGGAACCCAATTCCTCCCAAGAATCCTCAAGACTGGAGTCAACACCCAGACTGGATGATGGTAGGAGGTTAGACACGCTTTCGATGTGGCCATCAGGCGGAGGGTGAGAGCCACATGCCGAGCTTGAGAAAGCTGGTGAAGCCGACGGACTGGCCAAAGCTCAGCGCATCAGTGAGGACGCTTCTCAGTCGCTCAAGTGGCTGGAATGTGAGGCTGGTATCGTGTGGCGACCACCAAAAGCCACACATGATCCATACCAGGGTTTGGGGCCACACATGTGGGAGATGGCTGTATTGGACTTGCTGAGGTGCTTGGTGACCTGAATCCCCCCGCAAAACCAGAAGAAGGATCCTTCGACCTTCCGTTTCACCTGGATGCTCCCTTCTTCACCTCTCCCGGTCCCTGAACACCTAGGATTCTAGGATTGGTGAGAACCCCCCCAGACCCCGAAGAACCCGTGAAGAAGGTACTTGGAGGCCTAGGGAAACGCTTTTCGAGACTTTTGGGATCGCTGGGGGCCCAACAGGATCGATCCAAATGGTCCGCCCAAAATGGTTCGTGTTGACCAAGTTGTGTCCAAGCAAGAGTCGACAGGAGCCACCCAGAATCCATCGAGGGTCTCAACCAAATTCCAGGCCTCAGCCACTTGTTGATTTTCTCCCTTCACCCACACTTGTTAGGTTCACTTCACCCAAAAAGCCTGAAGCATTCTGGACCAAACCTCCCCCTTTGACACACCGCTCCCTACTACATCCCCTTCACGGTGGCGGACTTGGTGGACTGTCTCGGACGGCCTCGCAGGAGATTCGTCCAGCGGGCGCTGGAACGTCCGAACGTGCCGCCCAAGACGCTGAAGAAGTTGGCGCTGCAACTCCCAAGCCAGAAGGGATGGGTCCTGGCAGAGGAGACCGCGGCGGTTGCGAGCCCAGGGTGAGGGGTTTCGGGTGTCGACGTTTCAGCATTTTTCATGCATTTAACCCGTTAAGCTTCAGATCTGGGCGATCAAAACCACGGTCACGAGGTCGGTTCCGAACACGGTGCAGAGCTTTTGGACGGTGCAGAAGCGACATCATGGTCGCTGATGAAGTGTTCGTACGCCCGTAGGATGTGATTGCACGTGGGGTGATGGGGAGCAGTTGCCAGGTGGGGTTCCCAAAAGCATCCATAAAGGCAAGGTGAACCGCCCAGCCTTCAAAGACAACAGAGAGGTTGAACTGGTTTGTATACTCCTACATCAATCAATGGTTGTGGTATGTCGACATGTAAAGAGTATAGCAAGCACAAGCAATACAAGGAACTATAGCAAGTATAACATATTTGCCATACATACCCAGACCATCCATGTATGGAATATATGCCGATCAATTAACCCCCTTGGCACCACTCCAACTGATCGGCAAATCTGTCAGTACCATGGATGGTCTGGGATAGTGGTGTGCTTTGAAAATGGTGGGCCAGAACTCCTAGGCTCAGAGAATGGCCAGAAATCCACCCGTGGGTCGTGGGGGGCCTCGCCTTCCATCGATCCAGTCGTTGTCGGCTCCGCGCCGCGCGGGCTCCGCGCCTCCGCGTTGAACGAAGTGGCACGAGCCTCGTGGAGACTCGGACGAGTGGCGTGACTCAATTCCTTGCCCATCACCCAGATGCTCCATGGGACTGCCATACCAGGAGTCACAGAGCTCGGGGTGGTGTTTGGTCCCCAAGTGAGTGGATAATGGGCTAACCTCCATGGATAGCACCCCTTTGTGACTGCTGGTGTATGCGCCTACATTGGGGTGGTTTGGGGGGTCAATGTAGGCCGGCATATATGGCAGTCCCATGGAGGGTATGGGAATTTAGGGTCCAGGTACCTCCGTACTTCGGATGGTCGAACGGAGGTGAGTGCGCACGAAACCAGAGAAAGGACATCCGAGCAACGGATGGTCCTGGACCCTTATAGGGTTGATTTCAAGGCAATACTGGTTGATGCTGGTGCTCATCACTCGAAGTTTGTTGGGGGGGCGCTCTGGTGTCCTTTGCCAATCCATGACCTGAAAATGGTTCCGCCTTGTGGCAGGTTCTCAGAAGCCACCGAAGTCAAAGTTGCACTCCTAACAGTGTACCATGAGCCAGCCATGCTAACATGAACAAAAACTCTTTACTGTTGGTAGGCATGGCCCAGTAGGGGTGAAGCTGTCCATCCAACTGTTCCTTTTCGCAGACTTCCACAGATTCCAAAGATGATCGTTTGTTTTTTCTGCAATGTTGAGTGTATGTTCGTGACTTTTACATCAACTTCTCACTGCTCACGTCCGTGGGCAAAGGGGCAAAGGGGCAATGAATCAGGCTATATCACGCTTGCTTTTCTCGTGTTGCCCTCTGAAACATTGCCCTCACAGAGTCCAATCCGAGAAAGGATCCGTCGCCCGCAATGGTCAGGAGGCGACCATGCACCAAATCCAGAACTCGCAGAGGGTCTGGCTCCATCTGAAACTTGGTCTTTGCGAGAAACAATAATCTCCAACATGGGTACGGTATAGTCGCATTCTCCGGACGTGACTGCAGCTTTCCTTTCCTCTCTTTGTCCGGCCCGAAGGCATCGCCCGCGGGTCCGTCCAAGGAAGGGCTTCCGCCCTGAGAAGTCTGTGCGAGTCAGCTCATTGAATCTCATCGAAGAAACCGTGACCCGACCGATGCGCAGTCGATGCGCACGGGGCAGTCGAGACGGAGACGACGGAGCGGACGAGGCGGAGCGGTGTCGTTTCCCCGCGGAGAAGGTCTTTGAGGGTGGGGGGTGAGTGGGGTTCAGGAACAATGAAGCGTGCGTGAGGTGGACGCGAGGACGTCAGATGGAGGTGTCCAGAAACACCTCCCCACCTGAAGCGCAGCTTCTCAATGTGACTTGCATTTGTATTCGGCGTAGTGATTTTCCTGTGTGACTTGTGCGAAACTGTTTGAACCAGCCTCCCACAAAAGGCTTCAGCAAGGTCGGGTGGTTCTCTCAAAATCACCATCGACTGAGCTCCCATTTGGGCCAATTCGGGATGCGAGGCTTCGATCGAAGGCATGCGAAAACGGAGCCGCTGGGACCCTACCGGGTGCCACGGGACTTTTGGGCCTACATGAGGATGGTTTTGAGATGTTTTCAAGGTCAATGTAGGTGAATACAATATTTTGTACATGGAATGTTGGAGATCTCTTGCCTAGATTGGTGGATTTGAGAGGCTTTGCAAGATCGGGGGGCAGAAAGCCTCCAGAAAATGCGGCCGTGCCGGAAAAGTCTCCGGCCGGTCTGTGCCGGAAAAGGAGCAATGTTGCACCTGCACCTCTCTCGTCATGGCATTTCCAAAGGGCACTTGCACTAGATCATACGTGCATCCAATATGCGCGATCCGAGCATGCATGAGGATCACCGCGGTGGTGCAGAGGAGCTTGTCCTTCACCCAGACCGACCCCAGGATTTTGGGATCCCGGTCTTGCGAGGATTCCGGTCGGACGGGTCGTGTGGGTTTTTGCGACGCACGGTCTCTTCGCTGAACGGTCCTTCTGGTAATGGAAGGATTGAGCGGCGCCGAGGCCGGGGCGTCTGGGCGTGGGAGCGTCAAGAGCAGAAAAAAGAGAGCTCGCTCGGCTGGTCGAAAGAGACGCGCTGCTGGAGCTGGAGCTGGAGCTGGGCCAGTTGAGTAAAGAACCTTTTGCTAGATAGGATGATCATGATGATTCATTCTGACTCGATCTGAACTTCAATTGCCTTGAAAACCATGCATATATGAAACCATCAGTTGTGAGTCGAGGAAATAGGTCACTGGGACTCCAGTTGGTTCGGTCAACTGAAGAAACTGGTTGAACGAACATCTCCCTAGAAATCCAGTTTGACCTAGTAAAACCTGGTCTTTTACCTCCTTTTACGTCGTGTTCTTGACCAACTCCAAAAAAATAGAAGGACACACCTCATATATTTGGGACCCTCCCTCCAACAATAAAAAACAAAGCTGTATTGGAATTTGTTGATATTTGTTGGGAACCAATTGGTACTTGGTTGTTTGTCAATTCAGTTGCATTCGGTAGTAGTTGTATGTGTTTATTTTGTTCTGGAACATGAGCAAGTAGTTATGTTACATAGCGCAAATCATTATACCCATTTTGCATCACTATAGGTCCAGACAATCCAAGATGCCATGATGTCATGATCATGCAGGCAACCATTCATATATATTCCCATATTACCTGGTACCTGCTTACTTCCTACCTTTTGTGCCACCGTGATGGAGTTCTCTTGCTCCACGTGCCGCATCGCGCAGACCGCAGACCGTGCTCGGAGGACTTGGTGTTGAGCTTGACCAGAGAGGAGGCGTCTCAGAGACCTTCCCTTGATGAGCTCCGCAGGCGCTACACTCGTCGGAATCGTTGTTCTTTTTCGGGTAAAGCATGGTAAAGCCGTAAACCTGGGGAATAGTCTTTAACTTGGATCTTCCCAGTGACCTTTTGATCTCACTGGTTGGTTCGGTCACTGTTCAGGCCTTTTTTAAGAGGCCACCCACTTGGGACTCCAGTACGTTCGGTCACTGGGAAGGTCCTGGAACGTGTGTTCCCAGTTCGTCTTGACGTGACGTACCTGCCCACCTCTCTCCCGTCTGGCTTCCGCCTGGCTTCGCTGTATATACCGCTTCCGCTTCCGCCTTCGGTGGTGCGGTGCTTTATTGTGGTGGGTGCGTTAGCTTTGGGAGGTCTAACTAAGGAGGTGGCCGACGGGCTCCTTCGTTCGGGGGGTTAGGCCTTTTTCGTTCGGGGCGAATGACCCTCATGGAAGCTGACCAGGACCCGAAAGGAGGGTTCATTGGTCTTCGTCAAAGAGGGGCTGAATCGTTCCACTTCCGTTTCAGGAAGTGCCCCTAAGCCAAGTCAGCACAGGAAAACACCGCGAAGACACGGTGCGTCCGTGAGGGGACCCTTGGACCTGACCCTGGCTGAGGAGGTGGGTGGGGTCGAAGCACAGGAGATGGCTCCACAAACCATCCAAAAACATGACAACCTCCATGATCCCAGTGGCCAAGGTCACGAAACGGCCTTGAACAGGTCACGTCTACCAATCCTGAAGAGGTCACTGGGATGGTCCATGGCTGTGTTTTTTTTCATGGGAAACCCGCGCAGGGCCACTGGTGCCATAGCGTTCATGGTGGATCTCAGCCGTCTCGCCAGGCATCCGGCCTTGGAGCACCTGAAGCTGCCCAAGAGTGGGAGCAAGGAGGTGCTTTGCCTGAACGAGACCGCCGCACTGGGGGCTGGGGGCACGTGACGCCTTTTGGCGTTCATTGCTTATACTCGCGGCGGTTTCTTGTCTCGTTGTGAGGTGTTTTTTCTTTTTCGGTTGAAGAAGGATGACTCTTCTTCTAGCAGCACCCGACTCCTGCTAATGTAGTCCTCAGATTAATAAAGACCCCTAGAATTATGTCTTTTTTTTTCCCTGCACTGATTAATAAAGGCCCCTAGAATAATGTCTTTTTTTTTTGGAGGGGTAGTTGTAGTGGATTTTTTTTTTATTGTTATAGTTTACTTTTTCCCTTTTGAATTTGCTGGGATTTGCTTATCTTACAGGCTTTTGGATTGAGATTTCTATCAAACATTTGGAGATTTCCATTGAGATTTGATTCTTTTGGAGGCTTTTGGATGGAGATTTCTATTGAAAATTTGGAGATTTCCATTGAGATTTGATGCTTTTGGAG